TTTATGATAGCCTTGGGTTTTTTCAAATTTTTTTTTTTTTTTTTTTTTTTTTTTTTAACTCCAGACGGAAACACGCATCAGAGCCCTCATGTTACAATTACTCCACCTTGTGGGAATGATTTGAAAACGCTGCCCTAGATCATGGCAGGGATGATGCGTGAAGCCCCAGCCCTGAGGTTAGGGTATAATAAATTACTCAGGTAATAACTGAGATGGAGTTAACTGCCTATCTTGCGCCCCAGGTTCCCTTTTCCAGGTATGCAGACAGCTACATGCACTGTGGAGACTTCAGTCCTGCAGAGTAAAGCTATGCCATACGTACCTGGCCAGTAAATTGGCCATAAACCTCAAACATAACTTTATTGAGTACAGCTTTTTGGCCTAATTTTTGTACCATTTTTCTGTAAGACAACATTGCTGTAAATCCTATCCGTGTCCAAGGAAAACCAGCTGCAAATTCTAAAAACAAGTCAGGTAACGAACGACGCAATGAATTCAGATTCTTTTCTCCCCAGTAGACTGACTCGCATCCAGCTGACTAACTGAAAATCATGATTGTTTGGGAGAGGAGGTGGTGGCCTCCACATGCAACTCATTGGTAATCTTAATCACTGAGAGTCACGTAGAAAATTCCATAAACAAACCAACTTACTCTTCTGTTAAGCTGTGGCAGGGAAGAGGTGTGAAATGGGAATGACGATTAAACCTGACCCTCACCCACTGTGGAAGCTCTTCCCCAAATGGTTGAGAGATCTTAGGAGGAAGACAGTCTGGGAGACGCTGTCAAAATCACTCTTTCATATTTTATATATGTAGAAAGGGAAGTTAAGTATTCCAGTTGTTCACTTCTTAAAATTGCCTTTAATTATTAAAGTTAGAATATATTGTCATTATGTGTTTGAGAAATTTAAACAGAATTCCTAGTACTTTGGTAAGGCAATTGCACTGCCTGACTGAGGGCAAGCAGCAAAAATGCCTAAGTGAGGAAGCTGATTGATTGCTTTTCCTCTTGAGGCAGGGAGAGAACTGGCTGCCCCTGGAGGAAGTTCAGAGGTGCCCAAAGTACGGTAGTGTAAACAGGCCCCCAGATGGGAAATGTGTAGTCCTTTCACAGTGTTTGGAAACCTCACCCATACGGGCACTGTATAAACCTGGGGGGTTGTATGCAGCTTAACAAAACACAAAGGCTTTTTTCTCCTATGAGGATTTTCCAGTGGATATATTATTCAGTTTAATATTCAGATATCTAAGCTTACATCTCTCCTGGACAGGAGAGTGCTTCGTTAACTTTTAAAACCATTGCCCTTGTGAGAGAAGAAGTTTTTTATTCAATTTAATTGTATAAGACCCCGCTATCTAGCTATTTAAGATTTCTGGCAACAAGTGTTGAGTTCATTTCAGCACTGACTGGGGTTTCAGTTCTCAAATTCTTAAGACTCCTGACTAAATTTATAGAATAATGGTGGAGGATTTTCCATATCAAACATGACCTCTTGTGCTTCAGAGAACAGCACACTAACATTGTAATGATGTGGATCTGTCATAGAAAAATTTCCTTTCCAATCCTGATCAGATAATGGAGGGTGAGGTTTTAGGGCTAAGCATGCAAGTCAAAGGCAATTCTGCCACTAAATCATTCTTTAAAATACTCTTGCAATAATCCAAGCAAATGAGATCAACCAGTTTTCTACTATCTGCCAGTTTCACTGGCCTGCAAGAAGGTGTTTCCTTTATAACATTATGCTGAACTGATACTGTTATCTGTGACAAGCTACTTCATTATTCTTGATGGCTGTTTTTTTAGTTTTGCCTTTAAGAGAAACTTTTCAAACTCTACCTGAGAGAAGTGATCTATCTACACTTACAAGCGCTGAAGATACAGATGGTGTTGCAGGAGGAGGGGAGACTCTAGGAGGAGTTGTCCTTGGGCTCTCTTTCTCCTCGTCGGTTTCAGGTTGGAGCAGGACTGTTGCGTGGATTGGTTTATCTTCTTCCTTGGGTGGCCTAACCTCTGGTTCTAGAGCGGGACATTGGCCAATATCTGCATTTTCAAAGGACACGGCCTGAGCAAAATCCATGGGGCTGAGGACATACAAAGAAATCAAGGGCTTTCATCAGTTTTTCTGCCTCTTTATTGCCCATTAAAAGAAAAAAAAAAGGCAATATGCTTCAGTGTAATTCCACTTCACAGGACAAAACAGCCAGGATTCATCTGACTTATTTTAGGTACTTAAATGGGACACTTTAATTCGGAGTGACAGTCAGCATTGGGTGGCCTTCCTATAGTCAGTGTAGGAGACAGACACTCTCTGGCAGACTGTAGGAAAACAGAATCATATTCTGGAGAGGTCTCTTTCTCTTTCAGAATCTGGATACTCTTGTATATCAACCTTATTTAAAACAAAACATCATACTATATCATAAATACTTATCAATGAGGCAAGCCTTTCTGCAGTATTACACTGTTGAACTTCTCTAATTTTATTGTTAAATAGGAAGGTGTTGTCTGTAAAACAGTTCATTAACTGCATGTCACATGGAGTGCATATTGCAAACAAAAAAGCAAGGGCATATTAAGTAAATAGACTCTATTCTTAGGCTCGCTGTTACTGTGATTGCCTGTGACAATGAAGTTGCTTTTTGCAGCCAAGGCAGTTAACCAGGCTTCATTAACCAGATATTTGTTGCCATTAGTGAGACTTACGTGGCATTAATGACAAGATTCCATATACAGCCCTCGAAGGGTGGTATGTTTCTGAGAGGTGCGGTATGAAACTGAGAAGAAGTACCCCCCACAAAGAGCTTCTTTACAGAGATGGGCTGGTCTGTTGGTAATTTCTGAGTCTGGACTTTGTCTTCATCTACTTGAACAGTAAACAACCTACGAAAAAAAGATTTAAAAGTGAAAATACATACATTTTATTCTGGTTATTGTCTGCATTCAAATCACCGTTTTGCAGGCCCCATTTACTCTTGACCAGCTATTACACTGAACCCAAATTATGTAATTAGCAGCACACATTAAATGACTATTAACCACTAGAAGATTTTCAACCTCTTCTATGCTTCCTTGGTAGTTCTCTGACAGGGGTTGGCAAAGCCATGCTGTGAAGAGGCAATAATATCAGTCTCTGGTTGAACTGAAAGAAGCATGACAGTTTGTAGCATGACAGCACTGACATGGTAAGATCCAAGTCTGCTGTACTGTGAAGTTATGTATAATCATATAGTGCTCAGCAGGATGGTAACAGCATGGGGTCACATTTTCTTTGGCTCTTTATTTCCTGGTTTATACAAGTTATTATCTTCTTGCTGGGGGGGACAAACAATGCTCCAGACTGCTGTGATTGAAGGAATCAACTGCAGATACTGTACATTTTATAAAAGATCTGGTTAGTTTTTCTGGGAGAGAGGGCAGAGTAAGAGAATTGTTGATTGTTCACCACATACTGATACCACTCCTATAATTCACTCCCATGGGTAATGCATATGGTACAAGCTAAAGACAAAGCACCTCCACAGAACAGATTGTGGAGGATGTAAACAGCAAGGTACAATGTACTTCCTGCAGGCTTCTGAAGCGTAATGCTCCTGGCTGATCAAGCCAAGTCAAGAACTGGAATAAAAAAAGAACAAATTAGGGAAGGGGTAAATATGGTGAAGGATATAACTCTGGTAGAAGCAAGACTCTAAATATGAAAGAAAAGCTGAACGCTCTTGCATGTCAAAGCTACTGAGTTATCCCTTGTGCTGCTGCCTGTTATTCAGCGCTACTGCTTGTCAACACCTTTACCTATATACAGTACATCTCATCTTTAGCCATTACCTTAGAAAACATTTTGGTACTAAATAGAACCATACAGTGATGTGCATTAGTCCTCAACAGTATCCTATAATTACCTTGGAAGAGAAAGCAAATATAGATGTAACATTCAGTTATGTCTTGATGCACTATCATAGGTCAAGCTATTGCATTTGCCATAGCACTGTGTACAAGAACTTTTTTGTTGCTTAAAGCTTCTTATCATCATCATTATTGCATAACTGTGTTCTGTCACAGAGACACACAATGTTTCACATAATGCACTCATCTCTTTTCAAAACAATTTTCGTCTCTCAAAGAATTTACAGTTAACCTCCACCCGGACATTAAAGCTGGGGAGAATACTGCCTGAAGACATTACGTACCTTTTTTAATGATACAGAAAAGTAAATCAGTCAGAAAATGATACATTATACTGACAAAAGACAAAGCAAAGCAAAGCAGGCTACAGAGAAGATGACAGAAGGGAACCTCGTGACTAGCCGCTAGGGAATTGTTGCTCAAGGAGGCTGCCGGGAGGGCTCAGGGCAGCTGTGGTGTTGAGGGGAAAAAAGAGGGTTAAACTGCCAGCCGGACAGTGCAGCTTCAGGTCGCACTGCTCAGGGTACCTGAGTCGCAGAAACGTGTTAGTATTAAACCTATCCTTGCTGAGTGGGTCAAGATGCAAAACTGTAAAGTGCAGTTCAGAATGATCACAGCAGTCTTCACTGTAGTTTTCACCAGTGGCCAGCGCAAAGCCTAGCATTCACCTTGACTGGCTAAGCCTGTTCAGTTACATCTACCCCATTTTATAACATGCTGGATGTCACTACTTATTTCCTTTTTTTTTTTTTTAATTAAATAAAACAAAACAGAAGAACCTCATTGTTCATAGTGCGCTAACCCCCAGAAAGTTTGTAGGGCAAATATCTGCAACCAGGCTTTGATCCTGTTTGGAACAACAGTTAATTTGGGCCATAAATAATACTGACTGCCTGAATCCTACACACTACAGTGTAATATATGTGCTGTTTCTAATCATTTCCTGAATCGTGAAGCAATAATACGCCTCTGCTGTTTTATAATGGCTGAGAAAAAATAAAATAAGTTAAATAAGTGAAATTTCTTTTAAAAGAACATGCTCTGAGAGGTCTGTAGCGGCTTTCCAGCAATAAGAAACATTACTGTTTATCTGGAACTCTGCACCTTCATTGTTTTAGCATATTCAGCTGGGCACTACTGTAACCCCATTTATATAAACCAGCTCACAGTATCTCAGAAAGATTACATGCAGCTGTGCTGTTGCTATTTATTTACTTTGAAAATGGTCTTTCTCTACATGTCTTGAAAAGGTGACTTACTGCAGCTCAGCACTATTTCTTATCCACAGATTACATTAATAAAATATATTTGCTAAGTACCAAAAGGTTGAAGATGGCTGTTCAGGCAAATATAGATCTTTGGAGAAACAGGCTGATAACCTGTGTAAAGCACATAAACCTTGCTCTGCAGAAGAATAAGCACTGTCAGAAACAGACTTCCAAAAATTTCTGGATAAGGAAGTAATAACACTCACAGAAGCATTTGCCCCACAGAAGCATTTGCATGGATTGCTAATGAGATCCGTGCATTAGTTTTGTTGAATTAACTGTGCTGCGTGTTCTGTAGCGCTCTTAGGTATTTGTTTGTTACCCTTTGGTGCGTTCGATCCGGATGGAGTGTGCTCTGCCGTCGTGAAACTCGCCAGCTTCTGGTCTGATGGTGATTCTGTGAGGATCCCGTATTCCGGCGGAGATGTGCACCTCTAGTCGACCTCTGTTCAGGAACACTGCATAGTAGGCCTGCAATGTATATGTTATTAAAAGGTGAGCTATGTTTGAAAATAAACTATTTGGTTGGGTTTTACATTAGTGTATCTGTTTTATTTTCTTAAACCTGTTTCTGATTTGAGAAGCTAACGCAGGCTCAGACCCAGACGCTTTCCAACTTCAGGAGTGTAATCTGCTGAAACTTCACTTTAACATATTATCCTCAATAGCTTTAATTCTGCCAGTGCGCACTGGTATGAATTAGAAATAACATCTCTGAAATTAAAGGCATTATTTTAGATTTAGTGGTATAAATGAATATAGACTTTAATGCAAGAATGCATCTAAGCCTTTTTCTGTTACTTTTGATGCTTAATGAAAGAAGTCAAGCCTATGATCTGCAAACAGAAATTTTTTCAGTTCTACGATTGAATTAAAAAAAAAAGTCTCAGCCCAAATATTATTTATTGCATCAAATGCATTCTTTTGTTTCTGAACACTTCTGATAAAAGTAAAGGAAATTTAGAAACCTAGGACTGAGGTCATAAGGCGATTGGATAGGAGTTGAATGGCAGGGGTTTACCCTGTAGCTTGGTGATTGGGACAATTAGTTTAGCTGTGGGAGTCCTAGATACCCAACTCTGTCCATCCTGTAAAGGAGGGAGTGAAAAAGAATGACTTTTTAGTCACTCACGGGGAACAGTGACTCAGGGAAGAGCATGACAGGCTCCTAGCCTCAGTACATACTTAAATGAGTATTGTGTCCCACAGCACAGTCTTAACAGGCGGAACTGGGAATATCTGCACCATCAGTGACTAGAGGTCCACACCGAGAGGAGAGAGACTTCAGTTTATAACCTGACTCTGAATAAGATAAAGTGGAGAGCCATATCCAGGTGGTTTGTATCCCAGGTGTGTGTCCAGACCATCTTAGTATCTATGACACCTCCATCTCCCATGTGAATTCATACCTTAAAGTCAAAATTATCATTTTGGAAATGAATTATTTGACATTTATGAGACTATCCTTTCTGTTTATTGATTCACATTTGCGAACAGAATTGGTACAAGACTGCGCATATCTACGAGCACAAAGATATTTAGTTTGCTCTGCTACGTTCAGATTCTCTCGTATTTTTACAGTGAGGATTCAGTAAAATGAGGTCATACTGGAACTCCTTATTAAAATATTTGACTCTGCACATATGTACTTTCAATGAAGAAAGGCGACTGTTAACCTAAAATACCTCTGATTCTTACTGTTACAAGCCATGGTCTTCATCTTATCAAGCCCTGAATAGCGTTGATCTCGGTTGAGTTCTGTGTTTGGAGGGCTGGCAAAATCCCGCCAGTAGTCACTCTAGCAACGAATATGTTGTAGCGGGTTTCAGGATCTAACCTACAGTTACTATAGCAATGAGTATCATGCTCACTTCTGTGACCTGAAGAGCTGGTAATGGTAAAGAGCCCCTACCCCGAAGTTAATGTCATGTGGGTGAGCCATTAAAATGTGTTGTCTCTGGAGTGTGTTCCTTCATCTCACTGAGAGCTCTGTTCCGAAACAGGTGTGAAGGAGAGTAATGAAATGTCATTTCTCCAAAGTGCTGAGGAAAGAAAGCAGCAAAATACTGTGTTTATCTTTGCTGTAACTATTAATTAATCAGGACTGGAATAATTTCTAACGGCAATCATGCTTCTATCAGTTAGTCACTTGGAGTCTGTAGATACTTTGTCTGAATACATTGACTCTGTCCTCTTCTTCAGAAAGGATTTATACTGCAGATTCTTATTTTGAGGGAGAGGAGGAGAGGCTGGAGCACTATTAAATCATGGATCCCACAGCGATGATCTCAAACATCTAGGGACTTATCCTGCACTGATTTTTGCAGCTTTTATTGTCTTGTGCAAAACAGAATGGTCCTCATTCACATCTGCATGCACAGGAACGAGAGATGTCTCAGATACCTGAATTAGAATATCGAAGGAATGAATTAAGCTTGCATGTCCAAGCATTAAAAGTATGTGAGAAGTCCTCAGAAGGAGCAAAGAGCAGTATTCTCCACTATTTAGGTCTGATTAAAAAACAAAAAATGAAATGGGAGCATCTGTATGATAAACAAGAAATCAGCTGTTGTGTAACAACAAACAATAGACATGTTAACGTACATATTTAAGAGAAAACAGTTACTTTAATACAAAAAAAATGCTGGGGTTCTATCATATTTTTCTACAAAGTAAAAAGTTAGAAATAATTTATTCCCAAGCACTGAATTTTGACTTAAGGCTGACCATCTGACGCTGTCTCGAAACAAGCCGTATGGAAAAAGCTTGGTAAAAATCATGGGTTTTCTTTCTCTTTTGTGAGGCTTCTTGTACCTGTCCAGTCTGTCTGCGTTTTCTCCTCAAAGGGGTGGCTTTCCTTCCAGTGTATCTGCGCTTTCTCCTAGGGGGGACAGTTATTCCCCCTGTGCCAAACAAGATGATTCCAGACTCATTCTTGGTGCTGAAGGAGAGGTTGATTTCTGTCCCCATGTCAAAAGAGACAGGCTGCAGTTCCACAAAACCTGGTTTGGGGAAGCTAACCGTATAAATGTTCTGTAGGAAGAGGAGGATAGGAAAATGAATTAGTAGGACTGAAGCAGACTATGAACAACAGAAACTAACGTAATAAACTATGTAAATATAACTAGCGTGAAGAGATAGAAAATAATAATCAAACAATTTATTTTTCAACATGTTGTACAAACATCAACATATCTGTTTACACCTGGGTTCATTAGAACATTTCTGGAATTTTGTCCTACAGGAATATAAATTTCCAGTCTTATTTCAGTATATCCTCTTGGATTAAAAATAACTGCTCGGAGATTTTTACATGAATGTTTTCCCTTGAGTTAATACAGTGGGATTTTGCTTTTACATCAATACAATAGATAGCAATAGCCAATACAAACAGGAACTCAATTCTATTATTTGTCAAACTTGGAGAGAAAATAACTCTCCATTTATCAGCCATTATTGCTTCATCATCTACTAAGCGCTCCTGCTTTCCTGATGAGCCACGCTCGTAAATGAAGAACTCACTGCTTATGGCCTAATTGTTTGCACATTGGTGGATAGTAACTCAATTTATAAGAGTAGAGTATGCCATCAAATAATAAATCAGTGTGTTCTCTTGAAGATTTTCTGCAATCACTGCCAATTCTTGCATTGTTCCAGCTGGGGCGTAGAGAACAGTCTATAGGAACAATGACTTTTTCTAAAATAACTCATCCTTTTTTCAGTAAGTAAAACTGTTTTCACACATAGAGTAAAAAGATTGTGCCAGACACAATCATTTTTATGCTTACCTTTCTCTGAAATTTCAGGGCATTTAAATAACCAAGTGTATCTGAAGCCTTTTTCTTTTGCTTTTACCTCATTTTATTAACCCATATATCTGTTTTTGTAAAATCAGAATATTTTTATTTAATTCCCCAGCAAAATGCTTAATCCAATTAGATTTCTCACTCTGAAATCAAAAGAGTTATATTATAAGCCGAAAAACAAAGTTCTGTCTAAGATGCATAGCAACAGAAGAAAATGAACACAACTATCGTTCTTTCCTAAATGAAAACAAATCTGAACTTCTGAAGAAAATATTAACTAAATCCAAATTTGTAAGATTTAAAAGAATTTGAGCAATCTGGTTGTTTTCAATTTAGCTTTGTCACAAACCTGAAAACTTAAAAAATGGCCATCCTGTGACAGATCCACTTAGTCTAATACCCTGTCTGAGAATCCTATTGTTCTGTTTTTTTTTGCCAGAAGTAGAAGTAATCAAAACAGCAAAAGACACTACTCATCTTTGTTTTGTCCTGGCCAAGTTCCAGTTAATGTTAAAAGCAAACTTTCAATATTTTGGAGATAAATATTTGGAGAACATCAGGTAAACTGCAACTCATTTGGATTTACTGTACTGTTATCTGATATGAAACTCCAGAACATGCATCAAGTTGTAAAACTATCTTATGTACCAGACATTTCCAGGGAAGAAATACAAACTAATCACTGGGAGACGACTGTCACTGGAAATATTTTTTTACATATGATGACTCTCCTTTTTTCGCGGAAAATTACTGTATTTCTCCTAAGCTTAGGATCAGATTCCTTGAGTTTCATATTCATTGAAAGCCTGTTAATTAGAAGCAGCACCAACTGAAAATAAATAGATTTGAGTAGCATTTACACTTAAAATAATCACACCACTTTTACACAGTCATTCTTAGGTGTCAGTAAGAAACGTGCCTACCAGTTCAGTGGTAGCTCAAAATAATACGTGCTCTGTAAAGACAGCTTCTATCCTAAAGGTGACTTTGTTTCAGCTACCCCGAACATAAACTGTGGCTTTCAAAGTCCTTCAGGATTTTCCGTAGTGAATGATTTTATAATCACCAATTCTGTTACAATGTTGGCTTTAAACTTTGAATTTTATATGCACAAAAATTTTTAAAGGTTTTTACAATATTGTCAATGCCTAATTCTATCCTTGTTTAGTCAACATGTAACAGTTCTGGTGTTCAGGTTAGATCCCTAGCTATGTGCATGAACATGCATTATATGATTAACATGTTATGCCATAAAATCCAAAACTAGAAAACGTTTATGCCCATTAAGACCAAAGTACATAGAAGTCAGACTAACCTCCAGTGTGCATCCTTTGGTTAGGCCAACAAAATCAGGACTGCTCAATATATTGTATGGTGTTCTTGAAATTTCAATCTCTTTGAGGCAACCTGTATATTTCTTTAAGTTCACTTCAGGCCTAAAAAGTTTTAAAAATACAATATATTTTCAAAACTAGACTTCCGGGAGCAGACACACACACACTCTTACATGCAGGGATCCTTGATTTTTAAAAAACTACACACACACAAATACATGTTCCCTTCCACCATCTATCACATAGCGCACTCTGCTTTCCATCACCCATCAAAGGCAAAACAGGAGATTCATCTCATCTCCTGTTGTGAACAGTCCTCTTCTCTACTTTTTCTTTTTTGTAAAGGAGTGCTGCCACCTTTGGTGCTTAAATGCAGTGAACTATGAAATAACTAAATAGTTATTCTTCAGGCAAAGCAGAAAGATGCAAGCTGGAGAATCGTAACAGTAAAGAGAGACCTGGACTGGAAGACAGATGGTTTGTTCATCTTTATGCATACGAGATCTTAATGAAAGAGGAACTTTTGCAGCATACAAACATTTTGGATAAAATATTTGCTAAAGGCTGAAAAAAAATACTTCATTTGAATCTTGGATTTTTTTTTGCTTTGGGAATCCCTTATGTTCGTGTGGACCCACATTTGTTTTCTATATATTTTATTTTTTCAGTATCATTCACTGCAGTGTGAAAATTGCAGTGTATTTCAGTTTGTGATGCAGCAGTGTATTTGACCTTTTCAGTCAGTTAAATAAAAAAAGAGCACTCAGGTTTGTTCCAAAACCTGACTATACATCCAAGGCATGAAATAGTCTAACAGAATTGCAAAGTACCATGCTTTGGGGCTCAACAACTAGAAGCCAGAAGAAATGACAAAAATCCAGAAAGAAACAGTGCACCTAGCATGCCTGAATAAAAAAATACAATTTGCAGATTACAGGCCGGGGAATACCAGAGTGAGGGCCACGACTGCTAGCAACGTCGGAACCAGGTTTGCAAGAGAAAAAGCCTTTTCAAGTCACTCCTGAAAAAAAGCTGCCATTCATGCAATGGAGACTAAATCCAAAGAGAAAAAAAAAAGCACTAATTAATTCACTCAGTTATGATATCACAGTCATCCATGCCTGATGACAGACAGTTTAGCAGAACACCTTAATAATCTGAACAGCTCAGAGAAAGAAAAACAATTTTAGAAAATAATAAGGAGTTAAAACTGCGGAGAGAAATAAAACTCAGCTCCCCGAAAGGAAATAAATTTTTTTTAAAGAACACTAATTACAAAGCAAAATCATCTTACACAGCTACTGTTCAGCTGCACATTTTGGTACTGAAAGCCATTCCTTGCATTAAAGCCATCTTAGCAAGCTCACTGTATTCTCTGGCAAATTTGCATCCTTTATATAAGTTAAAGTAACCATTCGGTTTACTAAAATAATCCTCATTCTGCCTTATTTACTGCCATGTTGTTAGGGTCACCTTTCATTTTTGATTTTCTGCATCCCAGCTCTACATCCCCAGTTCTTTTATAGACTCATCTTCCCAGCAGCAGAACTCTTGCCAGTTCATTGCCAATAATTCCCAGCGCTGGCCTGTCTTTGCCATCCAGAAAAAAATCATATTCCTACCTACTTCTTGCCCTGTCCAACTGCCCTCATGCTACCCAGTTAAAGGATTTTGCTGTTATCTCATCCTGTAATTCCCAACGAGAGACATGAACCCTGCATCCTTGTAAACATATAGCACTTGCTTCATCTTTTCTCAAGACTTCCTTTTTCCCCTTGTTCCCCTCCAAAAGATATAAAAAGGTTCACGTTCATTCAGATCTTAGATAAATTATTGGGTTGGTTTTTGGGTTGTTTTTTTTTTTTTTTTTTTTTGCCAAACTAGCTCAATTTCAGGAGCATGCATGAAAAGATTTCTGGATTATAGGAGAAAATATTATAAGTTTGTTTAAAACAATGGATTTGTTGGATCAGGGTGGGGAAGTTGCATTTTTCAGACTGAAGCCAAGTTTTACATTGGAAGTCATGGTCAAGTTTAGTTCCTACCTGAAAAGCAAAAGTAGTGGGCCCAAACTGACCCCAAACCTCCCCACTCTTAAAATCAAAAGTGGCTAATTTCACAAAAGACTGCACTTAGCTATTGTACCCCTTTCAGCAATTAAACTGCGAGCTTGGAGCGCAGTGCTCCTCACCTATTGACCCAGAACATAATGAGCTATGTTGCTCTTACACAGTAGAAGTCATAACCAACCTCTGAAATACAGCTTGCAATAGCTGTGCTTCCAAAGCATCCCAGGGCAATAAACACAGCTGAAGGAAGCAGCATGTTGTTTGTGTAGGTGTGTGCACAGCATGTAACATGACAGTGTTAAGCATCTGGGAGCAAGCAGCTTTGCTTGTTGCAGCCAGACCAGCTAGCGGAGTTAACAGTTTCAGCGTAACAGCTGGTATCAATACTACCCCCACACTGCTTCTGCACTGCCGCCTGTGCTTCCAAGCTGTGCTTACCAGATGCATGCAAGTCATGCAAATAATCTGATTATTTTTACCTTGCTTTCATACTAGGGTGAGAGAGAAAGACAGTAAAAAAGAATTACATTAATTGTAGAAAATGTTATTCATCAGCAACGTTCAAAATATTTCACAATGAAGCAGATACACATCATTTACAAAGAACAGGATGGATCGTGAGATTCTTTTCGACTATGTATATACACTATGCAACAATTAACAGTGTTAGCCTGCAAACAGATACCTTAAAATGTAATATATCAGAGAGCTTTAATAATTTGTTGCTATCCCTGGTCTGAGTAAGAGGAAATCATGTAGAAATATGTGGCAGGACTGACATAACTTGATATTTACAAAGTCACGGGTTCCTCAGGGTCTACTGCTGGCAGTAGCTCAGCGTTTCCCCAATCTCCCTTTCACTATCTTTGATTCTAATTTACTGTAACATGCATCTTGTGTCAATGACCAATGAATCACAGCTGCAGGCAAACTGTTACTACAGGTCCAAGTAGCGGTGGTACACTTATTTTTTAAGCAACCACAAAGGATTTGCTGAAAGATAATTTCTCTAGACGTTTTGTTATGCACTGGTGTGATTTCACAGTTACATAATATAGTGTTATATTCCACACGTAGAATAGCTTGGATCTTTTTATCACTGGGTAATTTGATATCAGAGGCCAGTTATTAACCTAATAAATTAGCAAGTACGTCCATTCTTTTAGCTGCAGAACAGCCTATGGACCAATCACAACCGTTCCTTGTGCACAAGGCGACTTTAGGCTGTCATCATGCCAGGTAGCTAAAGCTGACATAGATTAATGGGTTTGTTTTTGTGTTGTTCATCTGCTCGTCGCAGGGCAGCATTCTCTTGTTCTTGTCATTGCAAAACTGCTGAGTACTCACTTAAACCCTAAGAAAGTTTTTGGTTTATTAAAAACACAAGTATTTAGCAAGTATTTAAATACTTGCTAAATTCAGGTACCTGTTATCCCATTTCTTAAAATTTATTAAGGCTCCAGTTAAAGGTCATTAATAATAATATGCAATATTTTATAAATAATTAAACAATAGGAATTTTATTTGAGTAAGAAATTCATGATTGGGCCTACTAAGGAAAAAGCCACATTTCACTCTACTTACATGAACTATATCAAAAATATCATATCATTACTTTAATTCCTGAATACTTTGATTTAATTTAATCTACAGAGTCCAGGAATTTATGCCTACAAATAATTTTAAATGATTTATATATGCAACATTTTTATATGTACTGAAAGTATACTGACCCTGATTATGCAAAGATATATGCATCCATATAACAGTAATCCTATGAGTAGTACCTCGTAGTTCAATTTTTCTACTTCTGCAAGGTAAATGCTTGTGCTTAATTTTGTGGAGGTATGGAGCTACTTCTGTACGTTTGGCGTCACAAACTGTATTCATCAAATAAAAGAATATACTTACAAATAGAATGCCAGCTACGTCGTGGCTGTGCACAGCATCAAAAAGCGGTACTGCACTGTTAGCACAGCTTACACTGCATTTGGGTTGTGAACATTGTGAGCTGTGTCACATTGATATATACAGCACATACAGAGCAAGTGTCAGTCTGGTGTGTAATCATAAGTGCTTTGGGAATTCACCATTAACTATTGCTAGTGAACTAGAGAAACTGATACGGAGAACAGGATTCTCTTCCCGAACAGAAAGGAGTTGCTTTGAGCCACAGTACCTTAGATTTCTCAGGGTTGGCAATCCTCCAAAATATATTTTCTCATCCCCTTTCAAGTTAAGCCCAAAGTGACTTCCTGTAGAAATTGTTGCTAGGCTCTCTTCTTCATTTGTGTCTATGTCTACAATTGATATGTTGGCTGGAAGAGATTAAGATTAGTTTCAAAATACCAGACATTAAAAATAATGGCTTAATTTGCCCTGTGAAGAAACCAAAAGAGAAATATGTGGAGGGTTAGCAGGCTGGGGGAGGGACAAGGAGTTGTTTGCATTTGCAGTGAAGGTACTGGATTTCCAAACTGCCAATTATGGGCAGGGGGAGGGAGACCCACACTTTCCTCTGTTGCCATAACAACCTGAAAATGCTAAAGCAATTCTGTATGCTTTATTTTTAAATATATTTCCTAAAGCAGTTGTAATTTGGTATGTTCTCTTTGTCAGTATAACTTTGACCTAACATTTCAGGACAATATCAAGACAGAAGAGATCATTTTGCATCTAATTTGTGATTTCAGGCCAAAGCTTGTCACTTGAACATTTTTTTTTTAAATGAAAACCTTTGTTCAGCATTGTCAGGATGTGCCTAAGAGATTGGAGATCAGTCACTTTAAATCTATTGTCAACTCAAAGCAATCAACTGCTGTCATGTCTTATCTCAATGCAGAGTCAGTGATGAGCTATGTACAATTATCCATATAAATGTTTGTTCCATGTATGTTTTTAATGTATGTATTAATACAAAAGGTCAGGTTTAGTGAGAGAGACTTGCCACACTGAAAAACACCAGGCAGCTCCCAGGAAATAAGGGGATGTTCTCGCTCATTTCTCCCTCATGGATGCAAAGAAAAGGGTTTTTTTTCTTCCCCCTCCCCCCTTCTTTTTTTTAAAAAAAAAAGACAGTTACATGCGGGAAATAGTTTTAATCTTAAAAAACAAAACTAAACTAAACTAAAAACACCCAGATGTTTATATACCTAAGGAATGGAAAGAATTTTTATTTTAATTAAAAAAGTGTCCAGGCTGATTTCTGGTCAAAGATGGAAAACAATGATTTTGGGAGACGAAAGTCTTGTCAGCACTTCCTGGGAGATTTCCAAGGGAGGACTGACTGGCTAGATGAGGGCATGTATACTCAATGGAGAGAAAGGAGCAATCTGAGAGCGAGATGGGACAAAGAGCGTTCTCTGATGGAAGCTCTCCCTAGACGTAAGTCTCTTGTAGAGGCTGGTGAATAAATGCCTTTAAAACGACATGGAATGTGCAAAACCTGAAACCAAACTACTCGGTTGTTAGGAGTGGAAGAGGATTGAATGGGGGATAGACTTTCCTGCTGTACCTTCCTGTAAATAGACTAAGTGTAATTTTCTTTTCATTTCTGCAATTATATCTTCTTTACCTGATGCTATCTACTTTGTATGGTACGACTAAGTTAGAGTTACTTTACATTGTATTTTATCTTAACTGGTCCGGAGTTAAGCATGTATGAAGATAACAAGGCATCCCTCATATAAAGGTGCAGCAAATCTCCACATGAGAGCTCTGGGCCATTTTAACTCAGATTGGAGCTCCCAAGTACCAACTCCACTTGAGCTGCGTGACAAGAGAGTGGGTCTGCATCTGAGATGCAAAGGCCAGGTAGAGAGCTGGCACTTCAGGGGCCACCAGAGGAGGA